AGCCAGACATGATGTAGTGGATAAGAGAACTCCTGTAAATAGCCCTTATTTATGTAATGGTAAAGTATGGGGGGAAGAGAAATGTACTGTATCTTCCTACAATTTGGTCCCTGTCTTTTAGTGAACCTATGCCTCTGGAATGTGAATATTCCAAGTGTTTCTCAGGATGTTTTTTCCCCTTCTTAGGTGAGACAGGATAGCTAGAGTGGGCTGGAATTGGGTATTGTTCTGCTCCCATGTAGAAAGCTAGAGCTAGATGGAGTTGAGCACTTTCCTTCCCTACGGTCAGTTAGGCTCTGATAAAACCTCAGTAGTTTAGGTTCTGGTTAGCTAGTTTCTCCTGAGGACAGATTTTATTAAGAAGAACAGAGTGCTCTGGTATATTTCAAAAAGGTTCCTTTTCCCTATCCTCCTGCCAGAAGCCCATGGGAATTTTTCTCTGCTATATACTGTGAGAAGCCAGTTGAGCTACTGGAAGTAAAATTCACAAAAGCATGGCACCCCATAACCAATGTAACTAGATCACTGAGTTTATACTCTCAGATTTGTCCACACTGAGCCTTTGACAATTCATTAACTATAGTTTGGATTTTTCTACCCTGCAGAGGTAGCAATGATTTCCTCAAAGGTTTCTGCTCTAGTATGTTGTGAGTCCCTATATCTGCCTGTCTGACTGTCTCTCCAATTTGGGGGCAGCAGCTTGCTTGCCCTGTGACCTAACTTCTCTCATGGATCTAAGAAGAGTTCTGGAATAACACTGGCCACTTAACGAAGCCTTATAGGAGTACAATGCCTTAATACTAGGAGTGTTTCTAGCAATATGAATTCTAGGCATCACTGCTGGTCAGTAAGAGGGGCAAGCATCTACCATCCCTCAAATTTCACCACTAGCTCCCTCCCCAACTTACTAGAAAATGTGTTTACTTGGGATCTTCTTCAGCAGCATACTTTTCAAGGAAGGTTAGAAAGAAAACAATTGCACTAATATAAAATGATTATTTCATGTTTTGTCAATATGTGGTTATGTGGGCAAGAAATTACACACACACTCACATACACTCACAGTTGATCTGTGGTCAACTGTTTGAACTATGTCAAAGTCCCATGAATATATTTCAACTCTCAATATATTCAAAATGCCAATGTATAATTTTAAATACTGTATACCAGTGGATCCAGCTCATGAGGTGAAAGAAGCTTAGAGTTGGAAGGGACCACAGGTCATTTAGTCCAATCCTGCAGTTCCTAGGTAGGGAAACTAGTACAAAAGTTTAGCATTTGCCCAAGTGCATCCAGCACCCGGGCAGGAACCCAGGCCACATGGCTTCCAATACTTGATAAGAGGACAACCACCAAACTGCCTAAGTCCAGAGTAAACAATGAGAAAGTCAGATTTAGGAAATTAACCCCCATTACCCTAGGAGCAAAGACTCTGACCTGTTTGGGAAGCTGGAGCTTCGAAGGGTAACCTAAGTTAAAGTGGCTTTCACATGTCAGGTCGTCAGTGCCCAGTTGTAGAGAGAAAGGGAGAGGGTAGAACGAGGGAAAACAGGGACTCATCTAGGAGTAAAAACAAGTAGAGAAAGAAGAGAAAAGGTAGAGAATGGAGGAAGATAATGAGGAAAAGAGAGAGAAGAAGCCAAAAAGGATGGGTAAAATCCAACCTATTTGGCTTTGCCGTAGTTTGTAAGGTCTATTTCATTTATTTATTTATTTATTGCTCAGCAAATATTTGTTGAGACTTACTCTTTGCTGGGCTTCATTTCAGCAGAAAGATTCCTAGGCATAGGTTTAGTAAGGACAACACATGGATATCCTGGAGACTTCATCTTGCCAGACAGCTGGAAGCCCAAGACAGACCCTTTCTATACACCAAAGCATGAAAAACTTTTTCTCCCACTAAGCATTAGCACCTCTATGAAATGAAGTCGTTTGGGCGGGGTGCGGTGGCTCACGCCTGTAATCCCAGCACTTCGGGAGTCTGAGGTGAGTGGATCACTTGAGATCAGGAGGTTGAGACTGGCCTTGCCAACATGGTGAAACCCCATCTCTACTAAAAATACAAAAAATTAGCCAGGCATGGTGGTGCATGCCTGTAATCCCAGCTACTCGGGAGGCCGAAACAGGAGAATCACTTGAACCCGGGAAGTGGAGGTTGCAGTGAGCCAAGGTGGTTCCATTGCACTCCAACCTGGGCAACAGAGTGAGACTTTGTCCCAAAAAAAAAAAGAAATGAAGTAGTTCAACAGCAGAGGGTCACCATACCTCATCCCCTCCCACTACTTCTACCTTCTGCTTTCTCTCCAGGAGAGGCAGCCCCAGGCTTTTGGGCTTGGCAACCTCTGGAGTCCAGGGCAACCAAAGGCTTGGTACAAGGGCTAACCATGAAGGCAGTCCAGATTCTAAGCCAGGGATATTGGGCGCGTTTCTTTCTCTAGTTAGCCCCAGACCCTCAAACATTCAATGGCATAGACTCTAGATCTTCCTTTTGTCTCCATTCTAGTCTAACATGTCTGGCTCCAACCGATGAGCCAGGATCATCTTCTCACATCACAAAACCTCCCAGCCTTTTAGGAGGGATAAGTGGCTGCAACACAGAGGCTAAAGCACTGGCCTCTGCTTTATATGGTCACCATCACAAGACAAGCAACGCAAACACATCCCAGTGTTCAAGAGAAGGAAGGAGATTGGAGTTTCTGCCAAGAAGAAGCCACCATAGAACATATTCCCTAGATATATGTTAACAAATAGCCAGCTAGTCCTAAATCTCCCACTGGACTCCTTTGAAGGTCACCTAGAATGTATACAGTTAGGATGTTGAGATCTTGTTGTTGTTGTTGTTTTTGTTGTTGTTTTATCAATCTGCCTGTAGCAAAATTATTACACATTAACTCAACTTTCTTCTTGGCAAGGCTTCTTATGAGTCAGGCTTCCCCAACTCTCCCCGCTCATGATGGGTAAACAGAAAACGACTAGGACTCAGTTCCCAATCATTTTCAGGATACATGAAGGCAATGTTATGGATTACCCATGAACAAAAGCAAATAAATAAATACAACAAAAACAAACTCACAATCATCATCTGGCAGTTCTGTGTAGATTTCTAGAGCTCCTTAAGAATAGGATATGTACAATATTGTTCCTTGCTCTGTTTAATAACATTTCTAGCCAATGTAAACCTACTCTCCATTCTTCCTAAGGACCTACCTGGACCACAGTCCCACTTCTTCTTGTCTAGTGTCTCCTGGTCTCTGTGACTTTTCCTACCTCCCAGGTCTAAGCATATTTTTGGCTGACATACAGTCTAGATTATTAAGAAGGGAATTCTGTCACCAGGAGACAAGTGATCCAGGGCCTTGACTTACAAACTAGTGTTCTGTAGGGCTCCCTCAAATTCTTCTGAGGGTACACCCTGGCAACCTTACTAGGAGGAACTCTTTTTTTTTTTTTTTTTTTTTTTTGAGACGAAGTCTCGCTCTGTTGCCCAGGCTGGAGTGCAGTGGCGCGACCTCAGCTCACTGCAAGCTCCGTCTCCCAGGTGCACGCCACTCTCCTGCCTCAGCCTCCCAAGCAACTGGGACTACAGGCGCCCGCCACCACACCTGGCTAATTTTTTGTATTTTTAGTAGAGACAGGGTTTCACTGTGTCAGCCAGGATGGTCTCGATCACTTGACCTTGTGATCTGCCCACCTTGGCCTCCCTAAGTGCTGGGATTACAGGCTTGAGCCACTGCAGAAACTCTTAAAGTACCCAAAGATTAACTGTAAAGGAGGTCTCAGTTGGCGAGGCACACATCACTGGTACTGATGTCGTCTAAACAGTTTTCACTTTAGTTCCTCCAGTATGAATATGCAGGATCAAATTAATAGACCACTCTTTTTATCACAGACAAAATAGTATAGTGGTGAAGTCCAACGCCTCCACAGTCAATCCTGGATCTGCTCATTCTCAGCTGTGACAGAGGGCAAATTTCTTAATCCCTTACACCTTCATTTTCTCCTCTACGGTATGAGGACAATAATAGTACCAACCTTGTGGGATTGTTGTTCATGAGTTAGTACATGAAATGGCTTAGAAAGGTGCCAGGCACAGATGTTCACACAGTAAACACAGCTGTCACCATTATTCCTGGGAGGATATTCTTATAAAGAAAAGTAAAATACAAACAATGGTGCTACAAGTGAGATTCAGGTATAGAGGCAAGGAATTGTTTGGAGAATTTAGGACAAAAGGGATTTTGGAGGAAAAGAGGAAAGGTGTGGAGTCTGTCTTTACCTATCCAGAGAGGCTGCCAAGAGACCTGCTGCCTGGGACTGGCTGGCAGGATCCCAGAAGCAGCAGCCACTATTGCAGTTTACCACTTCCAAAATGACTCCACCCCAGGGGCGAGCGAGGTGAAAGGAAGAGAGGGGTTTTGTTTTCTCCATCTGCACTTAATGCTTCTTCTTCCACCAAGAGGGGAAACTATGAACAGGGTGTTTTGGCCTTTGAACCACCTTGACAGCTTGAATTCCTTTACTCTTCCAGGAAATGGTAAACAAAAAAGAATTGCTGTGCTGACACTCTTTTTGCTTCTGTTTTCCTTATTGAATGGCTACTGCTTTTGAAGAAAAGTGTCTCTTGACTATCTAAAATGTATTTCAGACTCCTTCGATATATGTCTAACTAGCATGAGGTGAAACAAACAGAAAAGTTGATAAAGGCGTGAAAGCTCACCTAAGCTTTAGGTGACTCCTAAGTCACCTAAGTAAGCTTTTGCTGACTTCTAAGGACAGGCATGCCATAGAATATAAACAATTGGTCAAAGTTATTTAAAATCATTGTTAGACAAAGGAAAGATGGAGGGAGGAAGAAGACACAAAAGGGAAGACCATAGGAAGAGAAAGAAAAAGTCTGTAGCCAGAGATTACTTTATGGGTATGTAACCAGTGCAGCCACAGAGGGCCCGGTACTCAGATGGGACCTGGTGCTTAAGGCATAATATTCTGTGGTCCCCATCTGGAAATTCTCACTTTATCTTTTAATTGTTTTTGTAAAGGAAGTCTGATACAAGAGTATAGCCTCTGCTCAGACAGTTCTGCTTCCCAGGCTCCCTGGGACAAATTCTCAGCCCCCTGCTCGCCCTACCCAGGAACAAGCTTTTTTCCTGCATCATTGCACCACCAGTCAGTACTCATCATGGTCACTTCTTTAACATTAAGATGAACTCTGTCAGTTTCCTGGTGGTCAGCCTCTACAGCAAATGGGGGCACAAATGATCAGACCTAATGAGCAAGTTGCTGTCTAGGTGGCCCATCCATCACTCTAGCTCTGATGTCAGTCCATTGCACATGTATTTAATTTCAGTCCATCCTTCGTTCGCTAATTATAGAAGACAACTTAGCTCCTATGGGAGACAAAAATCTCTGCAGTGACTTGAAACAAGTGGAAATTTGTTGGAGAGCTTAGATAGAATGTATTTTTATTCTTTTTTTCCATTTTCTTTTCTCTTTTCATCTTTTTTCTTTCTTTCTTTCTTTTTCCTTTTTCTCCTTTGTGTTTTTATCTTAACATGCCTAGACAGAGAAGAACACTGGATTGTACATAATGAGCTTTCTTTGACTCTCTTTTCCAGAGTGGAAATAGGATTCTGTGCTCCATCATCCTGAGCCATCACCAGGGGCCGTCCATAATCAACTATGATGATGAGAGTGGGAAGACATGTGTACATATCGCAGCAGCAGCGGGCTTCAGCGATATTATTCATGAGCTGGCAAGAGTCGCTGAGTGTAACCTGCAGGCTCTGGATGTGGATGACAGGTATCCGTGGCAACCAGAAAGTGCTGGGAACGCCTAGTCATTTCCCCCTAACTGAATCTTAAAATAAAGAAGATGTTTAAGGAGGTGTCCTATACAGCTATATCCTTATTGCCAGTAATACACATGTGCTTGTGACAATAAAAATTGCTCTATTTTAGTGAGAGGAGGAAAAATTATTGTTATGGAGAGGAAGACTGTGACTGTACAGTATTGTCAGATTTTCCACTTTTTGCTAAATGTTCTCCGTGCTCTCAGAAGGCGGTCTATATTTCAGCTTCCTGCTATGTGCCCTTTTTGTTCCTAAAGGTAGGTTTTGAGATTTTTGTTTTCTTCATTCTTGGATTATGTTCTAAAGTCCACCAGTTCTTTTATCCAGAGAAGAACATAATAAAGACTGTATTCTGGACTATTGGGCTCTTAGAACTACAAGGAACTTTTTCAGGCTGTTGTTGTTTTCGATCATCAAAGATGTATTGTCTGAAAAAGGAAGCTGGGTACAAAAAGGTAAAAAGACTTCTGTCAGAGCTAGTTAGATACTAAATGAAGATTTGTACACCTGTCTTTCAAACTTACAGCTTTTCACGTAGAACGCCCTGCTTATCTAAACTGTTTTGGTTAGGCACTGAATCAATGGAAATGTAAGAAAAATATAATAACAAACAAGCCTATCAAAAATAAGTAGACTTGAGCACTCTGGTTTCTTTATCCTCTTGTATTGAAGTGCAAAATTAGCCCCCTACTTATAATTATTTATTTTATTTTTTTTTTTTTGAGATAGAGTCTCACTTTCATGCCCAGGCTGGAGTACAGTGGTGCAACCTCAGCCCATTGCAACCTCCACCTCCCGGGTCCAAGTGATTTCCTTGCCTCAACCTCCTGAGTAGCTGGAACTACAGGCTTCTGCCACCACACCCAGCTTACTTTTGTATTTTTAGTAGAGACAGGGTTTCACCATGTTGGCCAGGCTGGTCTTGAACTCCTGGCCTCAGGTGATCTGCCCGCCTCAGCCTCTCAAAGTGCTGGGATTACTGGCATGAACCACCATGCCCGGCCTACTTATCATAATTTTAGATACCCCAAGAAAGCTCCAGATACGTGATGCTCCCAGATACTTGAAATTCTTCTTTTTCTTTTTAAAATTACTTTATAAAATATGGAATACTTCACAAATGTGTGTGTCATCCTTGTGCAGGGGCCATGCTAATCTCCTCTATTAATACCTGAAATTCTTTTAACCCAGGGAAAAAATGGGGGGCTCTACATAGGTCTCAGAAGTTGGAGATAGTTAAATGACTTTAAGTAAAATTAAAGTATAAATCATTGAAAGTAGACATTTTTCGGCCAGGTGCAGTGGCTTATGCCTATAATCCCAGCACTCTGAGAGGCCGAGGTGGGTGAATCACTTGAGGTCAGGAGTTTGACACCAGCCTGGCCAACATGGCGAAATCTGTCTTTACTGAAAATACAAAAATTAGCCAGGTTTGGTGGGGGACACCTATAATCCCAGCTAGTCAGGAGGCTGAGGCAGGAGAATCCCTTGAAGCCAAGAGGTGGAGGTTGCGGTGAGCCAAGATAGCGCCATTGCACTCCAGCCTGGGTTACTAAGCAAGCAAGACTCTGTCTAAAAAAAAAAAAGAAAGAAAGAAAAGAAAAAGAAAAGAAAAAAGTAGGTGTTTTCCTAAGAGCAGGTGTTGATCATAAGCAAGTAAGAAAGTAGAAGGACATAAGCTACATGAGGAAAAAAGTGAATTAACCTTTTTTTTAAAAAGAAAAAAAAGAACAAATTTCAGAAAGGCAGGCTGAGGGAAAGTTTATCTACTTCAAAACACTCCTAGAACCAGCTTTGAATAGAATAGTTCCCATTTTGTAATACCACCCACTTAGCAAAGAAAATCCAGTTCTCTAGGCCTCAGGGTGGAAAGTAAAACTAACGGGAGAAAAGAAAGTACAAAAGATAAGGAGAGTTCAAACGGAAGTAAAATATCCAGAAGAGTCCTTTCCGCTCCAGTGCTCAACTCATAAGGCCTCATGTACTGATCAAATCCTAGCTTCCATTTTTTTTCTATGTTTTCTGCAGCTAAACATGCAATTCTGCCTTCATGCTGAAGCTATAAGCTTCTGTTAATAGTTGAATTTTTCAGGGCCAGGCACGGTGGCTCATGTCTGTAATTCCAGCACTTTGGGAGGCTGAGGTGGGCGGATCACGAGGTCAGGAGCTCAAGACCAACCTGGCCAACATGGTGAAACCCTGTCTCTACTAAAAATACAAAAATTAGCTGGGCTTGGTGGTGCACGCCTGTAATCCCAGCTACTCCGGAGGCTGAGGCAGGAGAATTGCTTGAACCTAAGAGGCAGAGGTTGCAGTGAGCCAAGATTGTGCCACTGCACTCCAGCCTGGATGACAGCGTGAGACTCCTTCTCAAAAAAAAGTTAAAAAAAAAAAAAAGTTGAATTTTTCAAAGTTTGCATAGGTTTATATGCTTTAAGCATTCACAATAATTGTGATTTCCCTTCCCTTCTTCTCTTTTTTAGTGTAAGTTTTTCCTACTGAAAGTTTTTGTGGAAAAGGAAAGAAAAGTAAGGTAGTAATAAAAAGAAGTAGAAGGAAAATATGAAGAACTAGGCCTCCCAGATAGTAAAACACATCATAAGTCTATGGTATTTAAAACATTGTAGTACTTACCTAAGATATGACACAGAACTCATAGCCCAGAAGCAGCATATGCAGCTTAAGTGTCTCAAATTTCATCAGTCTGTGAGGTCACAGTTCCCTTTAATATGCAATTTACTTATCTTCAGAGAGGAAAGTCTGTTACCAAGTTCTGCTCTCTGTGTATTTCTGGGAATTCTCTGGGGAATGTTTACATGTTTTATTAATCATTCCTCAGTCACTGATAGCTCAACCAATGCTGCATCCTTGGACCCATCATCTCCTGCCATTCAGCGGCCACCACATCCGCCCACTGCTTGTCTCTGCTGAATTCCTTCTGAATCACAGGCCCTGCCCTTTAGCCCCCTGCTGTGATAACTGAGGCAGATTGACTGTGTTTGCAGGACATCCTGAAGCTTAGAGATAAGAAAGGAGCTAAAGTTTAGACAACTTGAAATTAGGTACCACAGACTGGCCCCAAGGACATGGGTATTTTAGAGATTATCTATATGCTCCCCTCATTACTCAGCAAAATCCTGTTCTTCTGGATGGCTTCCATATTGATGGTCAGAGGAATTTAAACAGTCGGTCTTAGTAATTGTCACGAAGGAGTATTTCACACAGCTTCTGAGTGAATCATCACATGTTGGTAAGCCTGACTGGATCAACATCCAGTCTTCCATCTACTGAATTTATTGGCAATAGTCTCTCTAAATGGAAGGACATAATCTGCTGGGGACCCATCTTGTTTCAGAATAAATGTCACCTGGAGACCTCTCTCACATAGAATGGAACTAATCATATCTGCCAGGTTCAAATATGCAGTGTGATTGATCACTGTGTTGAAAAATATATGGCCCTATTAGGTGTTATAAAATTGCTGCTACTAGCATAACAGAAAAAGGTGTTTAATTGACAGAAGATGCAATCTGTACCTGGGAATTCTGGGGTCACACAATATACATACATATATGCTCTCCAAATATTCATGTCCAACCCCCTTCACAGATACACCCAACCCAGCCCTTCTCTGTCCAGCTCCCAGGCTGGCTCCAGGCCTGAGAGACCACCTGGCCCTCTCAGGAGTGCCCTTCTGCCCAGGGTTCAGGCCTGAGGAGAGGTCTTCCATGACCTCCTTTCCCCCAGGACTGCCCATTTCCCGAGTGACTTACCGGAGGGATAATCATTCTTTGTACAGAAGACCCCATTCATAGGAATGTGGGCCAGGCGCAGTTGCTCACACCTGTACAATCCCAGCACTTTGGGAGGCTGAGGCGGATGAATTACTTGAACCCAGGAGTTCGAGACCAGCCTTGGCAACATGGCAAAACCCCATCTCTACAAAAAATATGAACATTAGCCAGACTTAGTGGTACATGCCTGTAGTCCCAGCTACTCAGGAGGCTGACATGGGAGGATCGCTTGAGCCTGGGAGGTGAAGGTTGCAGTGAACTTTGATCGTACCACTGCTCTCTAGCCTGGGTGGCAGAGTGAGACCCTATCTCAAAAAAGGAATGTCAACTTTCCCTTTGCCCTTTGCCTCTCCCTACATCCCCAGAAAAAAATCAGAACATAGTTTTGTGACATCAGTACTTAATCCAAAATATAGTGTATTCAATATTTTATTTTTGGAGACAGAGTCTCACTCTGTCATCCAGGCTGGAGTGCAGTGGCATGATCTCAGCTCACTGCAATCCCTACCTCCCTGGTTCAAGTGATTCTCCTGCCTCAGCCTCCCAAGTAGCTGGGACTACAGGTGTGCACCACCATGCCTGGCTAATTTTGGGTTTTGGGTTTTTTTTTTTTTTTTTAGTAGATTAGGGGTTTCACCATGTTGGCAGACTGGTCTTGAACTCCTGACCTCAAGTGATCCACCCACCTCCGCCTCGCAAAGTGCTGGGATTATAGGTGTTAGCCACCGTGCCTGGCCTAGTTTATTCAATCTTGAATACAACTATGGGTAGAATCAAACGTCCAGTGCCTTTTCACAGTATTTTCCTGGATGACCTGACGGCCAGGGCTAATTGTCTTTAGGCCACCTCCAAGCTCTCAACTCTGATCTCCTGCTGGCAACTGCCTAAAGCAACTACAAGTCCACAGCTTCCAAAAATAATAATGCATAGGCACAGAGCAGCTATAAATCTACACTTAAGAAAGAAACATTTTTTTTTAGAGTCATGATAATCTTCAGAGATGCAACTCTATCTCCCAGCAAGTTGACTTTTTATATGCTTCAGCTAAGCTTCAGCTTCTCAAACTTCTGTTTTAGATCAAAGTATTTGCGGTACATTAGGCACACTTAAAAACCCACTGGGACAGGTTACCAAAACACAGGCAGAGTTCTTCATCCAAGACAAATCCAAGCCTTAACCTCCTAGAAAACAGTAGGCGCTCTTTAAATGAATAGTTGAAATTCTTATTTCTACTTACAGAGTTTTAAAAAAAAAAATCAGGGTCTAATACTACCCAGAATTATTTTGTCTTTGGTACAATAATGAAAGCAGTAACACAAAAGTATCGATTTATTAAACTTTCTTATTGAGAGCCTCTATATGTGCCAGGCACCACGCTGGGTGCTAGAATCACACAGTGAGTGAAAGGCTCCCATTCCCCTCCCACATGGAGCATACAATCTAACACTGGCCGGATGCGGTGGCTCACGTCTGTAATCCCAGCACTTTGGGAGGCTGAGGCAGGTGGATCACGAGGTCAGTAGATTGAGACCAACCTGGCCAACATGGTGAAACCTCATCTCTACTAAAAATACAAAAATTAACTGGCCACGGTGGCATGTGCCTGTAGTCCCAGCTACTCGGGAGGCTGAGGCAGAAGAATCGCTTGAACCCGGGGGGCGGAGGTTGCAGTGAGCCGAGATGGGGTCACCGCGCTCCAACCTAGCGACAGAGCGAGACTCCATCTCAAAAAAAAAAAAAAAAAAAAAAAAGTGGCGGAACACTTACTATGTCAAGTATTTATGTTATTTTACAACTCACAGTTTTAAAAGTTACAATGATTTTTATCTATAATTTAACCTAACTTCTATTTTTGAGTTATCTCGCTAGATTAGTAGGAAACCTAACCTCATCTTTTAAAGGCCCCCACCCGGCTTCCCTTATTGTGTGTGCCTTGGTTCTGGAATTTTATACAACGGGTGTATAGGAATAGAGATGGAGGGTGGCCCCTCCTCTTCTGTCCTTATCCCTTCAGGTCGGATGATGTTCAGCTGTGTCCATGTCGTGCTTGGGCATGGGCGCCATCTTGGCCTGCCTGTGGTCCCACTGCCTAGACACACCACAGACATTCCCCATCCCTCGCTCCTAGTATCTCTGCCAGTGAAGCAAGGTTCTTGACCCCTTTGCTCCTGAGTCCAGTGGTCCTTTATGCTCTTGTCATACCACTTTTTTTTTTTTTTTTTTTTTGAGACGGAGTCTCCCTCTGTCGCCCAGGCTGAAGTAGCACTCGCCTCGCTACAGCCTTCGCCTCCCGGGTTCTCCTGCTTCAGCCTCCCGAGTAGCTGAGATTACAGGCATGCACCACCAAGTCTGCAAATTTTTTGTATTTTTAGTAGAGACAGGATGTCACCGTGTTAGCCAGGATGCTCTCAATCTCCTGACCTCGTGATCCGCCCGCCTCCGCCTCCCAAAGTGGTGGGATTACAAGTGTGAGTCAGGGTGCCCAGCTGTCACACCACCTTGACCACTGAAGGGGGACCCCCTTTCCAGTGCTGGGAAAGCCATTTCCATTCAGATATTTAGTTAAATATTTTGCCTTTGCTCTGAAGTTGCTCTGAGTCCCAAACTTGGCTTTTGAAAGCAAAAACACATTTCCCTCCCTGACTTCGCAATATCCCTCCGCTGAGGTTGAGCACAATGTCAATCATCCCCTTAAATAGGGGAAAGAGGCGAGGTAGAAAATATGTATAGACATCAGGATCTTAAAATATAATCCCACTACATGAAGAAATGGTGTTTTTTGTTTTGTTTTGTTTTTGTTTTTGTCTTTGTTTTTGTTTTTTGTTTTCAGGCTTAATTCACTTTATTCTTCTTGTATAAAAACCCTATGTTGTAGCCACAGCTGGAGCCTGGGTCCACTGCATGGAGACTCTGGTGTGGGTCTTGACAAGGTGGTCAGTGAATTCCTGATAGGGAGACTTGGTAAATACAGTCTCCTTCCAGAGGTCAGGGGTCAGGTAGCTGTAGGTCTTAGAGATGTCATCAAAGGTGGCCTTGGCAAAGTTGCCCAGGATGGCAGTGCAGCCCTGGGCTGAGGTGTAGCAGTCATCGATACCAGCTATCATAAACAGCTTCTTGGGCACAGGCGCTGAGACGATGCCAGTGCCCCTAGGTGCAGGGATGAGGCGCACCAGCACAGAGCCACAGCGGCCTGTCACCCTTCAAGGGACGGTGTGGGGCTTGCCGATCTTGTTCCCACAGTAACCTCTGCGCATGGGGACACTGGAGAGTTTGGCCAGGATGATGGCCCCACAGATGGCGGTGGCCACCTCCTTGGAGCACTTAACACCCAGGCCGACATGGCCATTGTAGTCCCCCATAGCAACAAACGCCTTGAACCTGGTGCGCTGGCCAGCACGGGTCTGCTTCTGCACCGGCATAATCTTCAAAACCTCGTCTTTGAGAGAGGCCCGCAAGAAAAAGTCAATGATCTTAGATTCCTTAATGGGCAGGGAGAAGAGGTAGATCTCCTAGAGGGACTTGATCTTCATGTCCTTGACCAAGCGGCCCAGCTTGGTGACCGGCATCCACTTCTTACCCTCCGCCTTGCCTCGGCGAACTCCGCGGCCTTGACCCCGACCCCGCAGGGTCGCCGCCCGGCTCCGGATGCCACTACCGAAACCTCCGCGGAAGCCACCGCGGTTCCCCATCCCAGGGCCCCCAGGGCCTCCAGGGCCTCCGGGCGGGGCCGCTGCACCGGTGTCATCCGCCGTTTGGTGTGTTCTGGGAGAAGAAGCAGAAGTGGTGTTGAGGGCTGGGCGCGGTGGCTCACGCCTGTAATTCCAGCACTGTGGGAGGCTGAGGAGGGCGGATCATGAGGTCAGGAAATCGAAACCATCCTGGCCAACATGGTGAAATCCTGTCTCTACTAAAAATACAAAAATTAGCTGGGTGTGGTGGCCCGTGCCTATAATCCCAGCTACTCGGGAGGCTGAGGCAGGAGACTCGCTTGAACCAGGGAATCGGAGGTTTCAGTGAGCTGAGATTGCACCAGTGCACTCCAGCCTGGCTGGCAACAGAGCAAGACGCTGTCTCAAAAAAAAAAAAAAAAAAAAAAGAAAGAAAGAAAGAAAGAAAAGAAAAAGAAATGGTGTTGAGAAGAGTTGGCTGTGTAATTACAAAAACAGATTGGCTTTGACCTCACTGCACATACCAAAATACGCATATAGTCACACACACAGATTTTGTTTGTTTGTTCAGTTTTTGGTTTTTGAGGCAGGGTCTCACTCCATTGCCCAGGCTGGAGTGTGGTGGCAGGATCTCGGCTCACTGAAGCCTCAACCTCTCTAGACTCAATCAATCCTCCCACCTCACCCTCCCGAGAAGCGAGGACTACAGGCACGTACTCATCACATCCAACTAATTTTTATATTTTTTTTTGTAGAGACTGGGTTTTGCCATGTTGCCCAGGCTGGTGTCGAACTCCTGGGCTCAAGCAATCTGCCCACCTCTGGCTCCCAAAGTGCTGGGATTTCAGGCGCGAACCACAGTGCCCAGCCAT